ATCTTGCACCAAGGGAGTGGCACTCCAATTTCGTTGTACTCTGTACAATGACAATAAAGGCTATTCTATTCTATTCTATGCTAAAGAAAACCTAAAAAAATGTATGCAAATTGACCACCAATCTTTGACCACAGACAGTGAGATGGTAAAGAGGAGAGGGTAACAACAGAGGGAGGAAAAAGGAATTTGGGGGAACAAGGGTGCAGGGTGGAGTATAAGACAGAGAAACAAAGGGGCATAGGAAGATGAATGTTCCTCACCTATCCACTTGTCATTCCCATACCAGGACAGATTGCCTTTAGTGCTGTCGTAGTATCCGATCTTTTTATAGCTTCCTCCTGTGAAATACAGACAAAGAGAGAGAATGAGAATGGAGGCTCACACTCTAATGCCTCTTAACATAATTAATGAAGATCCAGAAGTGTCTTCAACCTTACTAACAAGCCAGATATGTATAGGGACATTTGTCCTCTAAATATTTCAGTACAACAGCAAAATTATACGTTGCATCTCGTGACTTTAAGTGGACCTTCTGGTTTAATTGGGAACTTCACAGTGCTGGATCCTGAAAAGAGGATGGTCCAGTGTTGTTGACCCAATTTGTCATGCTTTTGGACTTTCAGGTACTGCTAATTATTAAATATCTTCTGTTTGTTTTTCTGTTTGCTGTTTATTTACATTTCCAGCCTTATGCATTTCAGACTTTCCAGTCTTAAGTTCTTAATTCCAGTTTGTATTAAAGTTTCGTTTTTGTTTCTCTCAGTGTCTGTGTTTGGTTCTCTAGTCAGGTTTCATTTTCAGTCACTTGACTATCTCATAATGTATTTACCTGTACCTTCTTTCCCCCCACTGTGATGTATTTCATCACAGTGGGGGGACCAGTCTCACACCCTGAGACTGGTCCTCAGGGTGTTTATATATATGAATATAGGTAGTTACAACCGAGGGGATCACACTACCAGAAGGCAACATTGCAGACTTAGAGGACAGCTACAAGAATCCCACAGACAAATTTGAACCATGAAGAGGCCACTAGGAGAGCTGCAACCAGTAAGCACCTGCAGAGAGTCAGGCAAATCCTGAGGAGTGAGCTGAATGGTAAGAAGTTGGTGGGACAATGTCTGTGATCTGTCCCAGTATGTTCCTGTGGATTTAGGTTTGCCTTGCTTTTTGGACTTTTTGTTTGATTGAATTTGTCAGCAGCCTGAATAAACAGGCTCACCTTTGTTAAATCAAGTCTGCTGTTTGGAAATAAAATCACAATTTTCTACCTGGCATCAAATCTAGCATTTTGACTGTGACAAGAAGACTCTATGAGCTACTGAAAATCTAGGTAAGCAAATAAGTTACAAGCTTCATGGGGACATTTTGTGTTCGTTTAAATAAATCTGCTTCAATCTGTTGGTATAGATGGTGTCAGACTATATTATCCACATCCTGAATGCCACTGTGTACTTAATACAAAGATGTGACACTGATGTCCTTTTTTGAATTAGATGAAATAGACCCCTACGACAAGACCATCGAGGGAACAGTTCACCCTGCCTGGGATAGGGTTACTGGATCCCTGCCCTGGAGCCAGGCCCGGGGAGGGTGCCCGAGGGCAAGCGTCTGGTGGCCGGGCCTTAGTCCATGGGGCCTGGCTGGTCACAGCCTGAAAAAGGGACATGGACCCATCTTCCTGCAGGCCCACCACCTGCAGGAGGCACCGTAGGGGTCGGGTACAATGTGGAGGTCCTGGTGGACCAATCCCTGGCTACCAAGACTGGCAATTGGGACATGGAATGTCACCTCTCTGGTGGGGTAGGAGCCCGAGTTAGTGCATGAGGTTGAGAGGTACCGGCTAGATATAGTCGGTCTCACCT